GTCAGAGGCCAGCATGGTGAGCAGGGCTGGCTGAAGGAGGTGGAGTCAAGATACCCTAACGGGGCCACAGATGAAGGTTCACACACTGAAAACTGTCCCCAGCTCACTGACCCCCAACTCAGACATCAGAATTGCCAGAGCAAATCTCCCAAGTCAGACTCTTTGGGGAGAAACAGAAGAAACTCGACTGAGGAACCAAATGTTTACTTAGGGACTGTCACCTCCCCACAACACCCTCAGCCCCTTCAGCCCACAGGGAAAAGAGGGCTGCAGCCCTGTGAAACAGGCTTTTAAGCTTCTTAAATTTCGGACAATTTGAGGATGAGCATCCAAAATGAAAGATACTAAAACAAGCTCAAGTTTCCAAAATACTCATAGTATAGTATCACCACAAGGTAAGCAACAATATGAGGACTGAATACATGTTTTCATCATTTTCTTGTCTCCAGGACAAAACACCCGACACCCAGGCCTCGCAGAGGAGAGGCTTGTCTGGGCCCAGGGTCTGCAGAGTTTCGGTCTACAGTTGGCTGGCTCTGGGCAGAGGAGCAGGGCAGAGGCCCCGCTGGAGGGCAGCTGCTCACCTCCCGGCAGCCAGGAAGCAGAGCACCAAGGCAGGAGCCAGAGGGAGATCCCCTTCCAGGTCGCACCCCAGGAACAGCCTTCAACGCACCCCAGCTTCTGACAGCAAGTCGGCAATTACACCGATCATGCAAGCCCCTTGCCAACATGAGGCTTGGGGTGGACTCTCCAGCTCTAACTATAACAATACAACAGCAAATTTAAAAACCAAGAATTCAGCCTCACTAGTCATTCAAGAAATGCAAGTGAAATCACAAGTCACCAGGCCACACTCACTGGGGTGGTGGCAACCAAAAGGCAAGCCACACTGAGTCCCCATGAGGGTGTGGAGAAAGCAGAGCTTCACACGGGGGTGGGGCGGCGGGAGCATGAACCAGCAAGTCCCAAGAAGAATGGAAATGCAAGGCTACAAAAAAGTCTCATACGAATGTCTACAAGAGCCCAAGAGGAAGACGACCCAAGTGCCCCCTGGCTGATGCATGCATGAACCAAGGAGGGGCTTCCCTGCAGTAGGGTCTCATTCCTCTGTAAAGGGGGATGAAAAGCTGATATTGATACAGGGAGAAAAACTGGTCTCGGGTGGGTGACCTCCAAATGACACAGGGCTCTGGACCTGACCTGCACAAGTTCATGTTCTCTAAAACCGAAGAATGAATTTTAGGAACAGACGGAGGTTATGAGCAGAATATATTTACTGAGAGAAAGAAAGCTCCTGACCCAAGAGAGGGACAGGAGATGAGGAGACCTGAGCAGTTAGTTCCCACCCAGTAGTTGTCTCTTGCAGGGACTTTTATAGAGGAAAACCATGTGGTGAGGCGGGTCTAAGGTGGTAGAGAAGACATGGGAACTTGCTTAGGTGGGCATGAGTTGGGACAAAACTATGGTCAACCAATGAGATTACAAGCACCATTGCTCAGGTAAAATTGATTAAATCCAGTATCAAATGGGAAAGCAAGTCACGTAGCAAGCAGGCACAAATACGGAACAGGGTCTCTTCCTGTTGGAGGTTGGGCAAGTGACTCATTTGGGCTCTTTCAAGTTGATTGATACTATTTAGGATATCAATCCCTGATGCCCATCCCTAGGGAAGTATGTAGCTGTGCTTCCTCTTTTTGTCTTGGTCTTGAGGTGTGGCCCACATGGGAGTGTCTGTCTCTTCCAAGTTGCAAAGTCACCTTGTCTTCCATCTTGTCTCCTTGAGGGCCTGACCCTGTCTGACTGCCTATAATATTTCTGTCTAACTCAGCTGCTTACAACAATATGTTCCCCAGTCAGATGAACCTCAAAGGCATGATGCTGCACGAAAGGAGCTGACTCCATCATACGACACACGACAGATCCAGAGCAGGCAACCCAGAGCCAGGAATCTGTGACTTCAGAGGCTGGGGGTGGCAGATCAGGGTAAGAAAGACAGAACTTGTACACCTTGGAAGGGTGACGTATGGCATGAACTATGTCCTGGTAAGTGTATGCATATGTATACGTGTGTGTTATTTTAAGAAAGCAAGGAGAATTGGGGATATAAAGTTGAGAAAAACCATTCACCCAAAAGTAAAGCAAAGCAAGAAGACAACTGGAATGCTAAGAGAAAAATAAGGAAACTGTGATTAGACTATAAAGTTCAATACACAGCCTGTGGACGCACAGCTGCTCCACACCGCCTCTGTCTGACAGAGGCACGAGTGGGCAAAGGCCAGATGCCACAGCTCAGGCAGACGTCAGCTACACACAAGAGTCTGGGCAGACCATGACGGCAGCAGCAGGCGAGTGGAGGACATGTTGTGCACACACAGGGGCCTGCGGGTTGAGACCTGTTATTCGGTACAGCTAACTCAAGATAATAAAAACAGAACAAATTTGAAAAAGAGTTCCAAGAAAGGGATCAATATGACATGAGGCTATGCAAGTTCATGCAGAAAATAGTGGACAAAGCACCTAAAATGCAAGTCACCCATAATCCCATCAGTAAGCCCCAGCTCAATTTACACTTTAGAATCCAATTTTTCCACGACTTTCTCCACATTGCTATTTCCTTTCAAAATGAGCTTTGAGTTTCTGTTTTCATGTATCAATATTTACCATGCATTATTTTCCACATTTTATTCATTACCAAAATGTCACATACATTTGTTTGTAGTACATTATTTTTAAATATTGTCTTACAAAAACTTTCAAACATAAGCATATGCATCCCACCTTAGGGTGATTCAGTCCATAATATTTGACTCGCAATAGTGTGAGGCATGAGAAATTACACTTCAAACTTTGCACCTGGAGCTTTGCCCAGACTGGCTGGGCCTGGTCCGCCCTGCCCACCTCTGCTGCCAGCACCTCGAGCCAGTCCTGGAGAAGCACAACACCGCAGTGTGCAGTGCAGCTGAGCTGTGTGTCCGCACCCAGACCCACTGAACACTTCCATGTCATGGGCCAGGGAGGTAGCTCAGTGGCATAAGCGCCTGCCTGGCAAGGGCAAAGTCCTGCGTTGGATCTCAGTCCTGAAAAAGAAGAAAAATCCATCTCAGGATGAAACACTGGTAGATTTGTCTGCATCTTTGCTTATAGAGCAATTCCCTTCCACTCAGGAGCTATATTCCAGGGCATAGGTTGATGCCCTATGGCCTTCCCACAGCCTGGTGACTGGATTCGAGTGAATATGCTTCCTGCATTTTCTTCTACAGAGCTGTGACTATCAACTCGAATGTATTTAGGATAAACACCTAGGGGTGAAATTTCCTTGTTAACACACAAGTTAATGTTTACATTTATAGCCAGTCATGCTGGTGCACACCTGTAATCTCAGCACTCAGGAGGCTGATGCAGAAGGACAGACTTGAGTTTGAGGCCAGCCTGGGCTACATAACTGAGTGCAAGGCCAGACTGAACTATATAGCAAGACCTGTCTAAATAAATAAATATTTATTAAATAAAATTGTGAACAATTTTCCAAATGGTTATACCTTTGTGCTTTTCCACAAAAAAATAGCTTTCCCCTCTCTTCATATCCTCACCAATACTTTGGTGTTGTGTTTTTTACTTTAGCTGTTTTAGTGGGTGTGGCTTTAATTTGCATGTTGCTGGTAACCAGGAAGTTCGATCATTTTTTCACTTGTTTACTGGTAGGTCACGTATTTTGTGGATTATCTGTTCAAGCATTTTGCACACTTTTTGTTTCTATTTTTGTTTTCTGAGACAGCGTTTTCTGTTCTTTAGTCTAGATTTGAACTCATCACATAATCCAGGCTGGCCTTTAACTCAAAGAAATCTTCCTACCCTGGCCTCCCAAGAGCTGGGATTACAGGCGTGCACCACACACCCAGCACGCACACTTTTGAGCTGTCTTATTTTCATGGGTTTGTGCGTGTCCTTGAATTTGTCCATGTAAACTGTCAGCTGTGTCCACCTAACGTTGCTCCTAATGTTTCCCTTATTATAATCTCCATGCGGGCTCTCATACTGGTCTCTCTTTTAGACTCATTTTGGCAGTCTGCGTTTTGTTTCTTTTTAGGGATTTATTAACATTTTATTTATTTTTTAATTGTTTTGTATTTTAGGGAAGGGTCTACAGGGTGTTAAGGGTCTCACTACTAGATTGGATTTATAGTGATCCTCCTGTTTACAGCCTCCCAAGAGCTGGGATTACAGGCGCAGGCCACCACACCCAGTCTCAATTGCCCTCTCAGGGCACCCCACGGAGGGGGCTAGCACGGCAGGCCCAGGGCTCGAACCCCTGGCCCCTGAGCCTGCTTGCAAGCCCTTTAATCCCCTGAGCTATTTGGCCGGCCCCTTTATCAAGATTTCCAAAGGAGAAAATCTTGTTTTCCTTTTTTTGTTTTCTTGGGTTGCTTTCAATTTCTTTGAAATTTCTGCTCTTCTTTTTTTCCCCTCTGCTTATTTTAGGTTTAATTTCTCGTCCTTTTCCAGACCCTTACGGTGGAAGCTAATATCGGTGATTTTAAGCCTTTCTTCCTTTCCCACGTGAGCACTTAATGCTGCAAATGTGCATCCGTCCTAGTTACTTTCGCATTCCCGTTCGCAGTGCCCAACCCCCACAAGCTAAGAAGGAGAGGCTTCTGTCTCTAGTGGGAGGGCTCCCAGGCAGGCACCCGGGGTGCACGATTAAGCGGAGGAGCGACAGCCGCGGAGCAGGCAAGAACGAGCAGGAGAGGAATATATACACCCACTCCACCCGCGGGGCGCGGTGCTCACGGTGCGCGGCGAGGCGCGGCGTTTACGGCAGGGGGCGCGCACGGTACTTACGGAAGGGGGCGCGGTCTTCCCGCACAGACCACGCGGGCCTGCCCCACCCCTCACGCGCCCCCCGTACCTCGCACGCGCCCCCACCTCCAGCGCCACCCCTACGTCGCTGCAGGTCCAGAAGGCGAGGACCCCCCCTGCGCACACCTTGCCCTGACCACGCCATGGGGCTGTGTCCCAGTCTGCGGCCGCCGCTCTGTGGAGACCCCGGGGACGCCGCCTGCGGGGAACCGGAGCCACTGCCAGAGGACGCGCGGACCCTGGTGCCTGCACGGACCAAAGGCCCTCGGGACGCCCGACGCGCAGTGGACGCGAAGGAGGACAGGCGCCCGGGACCAGCGGAGCGCGCAGCGGCTGAGGAGGCGCGCAGGGTCAGTCGTGGCATCGACCGGCTGCTGCGGGAGCAGGAGCGTGACCGGCGACACACGCACCGCCTGCTGCTGCTCGGTGGGTGCGGGGATGGGGTGATGATGGGGGAAAAGGGTCAGGGGTGGGGCCGAAGGGACCGAGGGGACAGGTGCGGGAACAGTGGGGACAGGGGCGGGGACTGGGGAGATAGGGGCGGGGCGGGGACCGTGGGGACAGGGGCGGGATGGGCTCGAGCGTGCGACACGGGCTTCGCGGCGTGGCGGCACTCTGCGGGCTGTGCCCTCGCCGTGGCTCCGGGAGCCCCTCTGGAAGTCTCCTAACGGGTCCGCAGGTCCTGGAGCGGGGACCCGCGTGAGCTGCAAGAGCAGCAGAGACGGTATCGCGCTGCGCCCTCTGTTGGCCCGCTTTGGCGCGCCTGGCCGAGGCAGGTGGCACAGCCTGGCTTTGGGCTGCGCGGCGCCTCCCGGGCCTTCGCCTTAGCAAGTGGGCTTGCGCTGGCCAGCAACCAGGAGATAGCTTCGCGCTCGCAGTGGAGGAACCGTGAATCCGCTGCCGCCTTCCCTTTTAAGGCCCAGCGGGGAGAGAGGTGTGGGCTTTAGGCTTGCGTGCTGCGGAGCCGCGAAACTGATGGTGCTTCTGGGGCGTGGAGACCTGAGACCCCAGAGGGCGCCTGCCCTCCACGCGGCCCTGTGCTAGGGCTCCACTTACACTGCGCAGGAGCGCAGTCAGAGGCAGGGAGTGACGGCCTAAAACCGTGGGCGTGGGCCCACGGTGCTGTCCTAGCCATCCCGCTTCTCTCCCCGCCTTCCCCGACCCCCCCCCCGCCCTTTCTTTGGGTCCAGTGCAGAAGTTCCCCACTTCCCTGCCGCGATGACTGAGGGAGGGAGGGACAGAGGAGCCCCGGGGCTGGGGTGCACTGTTGGGTGCTCTGCAAGGGTCCTTGAGGGCAGGCAAGCAGCATGTTGTCGTGGTTACCCCTAGCTGCACCAGAGACCCTCGCAGACCACGAGACGCTGATGCTGCTGGCTGGAGGGTGGTAAGGCCTGGACCCGGTGGCAGTGACTAAAGCTGCCCCCGGCCCCTCCTGTGCGCCTTGGAGACCCCGCACAGACGCGCATACAGTGTCTACCGCACCACAGCCTGGTTCTCCTCCTGGACAGAAGAGGTCATCACATGCATCAGAAGGGGCCATTTTTAAATGTAGGAGTTGTTACTTCTGAAATTTTCTATTTAATATTTTCTAGCTACCACTGAGTACAGGTAACTACGCGGAAAACAAAACTTCGGACAAGGGGGACACCCGTACCCTAAATAGACATGCAGGTGACCCCAGAGCTGAGGACAGGGAGCAGTTGCTAAGCTACGTCAGAGCAAGGGTTTCCGGGTCCTGGAGACACGGAATTGTACCTCTAGACTTCACACCTGCTTAAGCCATGGCACCTGCGAAGGTGAAATATGTTCTAGAGAGCAAGTCTCAGCGTCCTGCAGCGCATGGAGAGCGACTGCGCGTGCGCTCCAGCATCGCTCGTGGATCGGCCTCATGTCTGAACCGCACGCGCGGCCGCCGTGCGCACCTCCACCCACACATCCTACTGCAAAGAAATAAAAGTTACACTCTCCAGAACTTTAAAACTGAATCCAATTAAAGTTACTCAAAAAGGGGAGGATTATGGTCTCAAGAAATACGTAATAAGATAAGATCTAGAGTTGTAAAAATATACTGTTTTAGTATGATTGCACATTGGATCATAACTTAAAACTTGGGGAGGGGCCGGGTAGAGAGCTCCTGCGCAGTACCTACACTCCTAGGCTTGGCCTCTAGCGTTACCACCATCAGCAATAAAAGGGTATATGAAATAGAAAATGCCTGCTACACAATACAGATAATTATGATAAAATGGGCATAATCATTTAGTAAACATGAGTCCGAAGTGGAAGAAGGCCTAGAGAGTGGAATGCTGAGCTCTCAGAAGCAGTCTTTTGATGCGTTCTGAGTGCCTTTTCAAAGATGTTTTTACAGCTCAGAGCCTCTGTATCTTGGACATCGACTCCTGTCTGAGGAGACATCAAGCCAGGTAACCACACGACTGTGCCCTCCACCAAGGGACAGCAGCACTGAGAGGCATGCCGTCGGACTTTGGGGCTTGGAGTTGCACACTGAAAGGTCCTTCCCCAGCTCTGCCAGAACTTGGAATGGATTCCTTTCAGGGCGGTTTAGACTTAGAACGAGCCCCCCGTGTCCAGCCCCAACTCGTGCCTTCCATGTGGGACACAACTCCACCTGAAGGAGGAGACGTTCACTTGGCTTGTGGTCCCAGGGGTTCCATCCACGCTTGGCCCCTCCAAGATGAATCATTGTGGCAGAAGGACATGGGGGAGCAAACCTGCTTAGTCCATGTTGGCCCAGACACAGAACGGCGTGACAGCACCAATAAGGAAGGGGCCAGGGGCCAGACACAGCCCAAAGGACCCCTCCACGACCCGCTGGGCACCTCCAGGGTGCCCCACCAACCCCCAGATGGCTGTCAGCCCAGTCACCTTGACACAGTCAAGCTTAACTGTCACATTGACCCCCCCATCTATTTTTTGCTGGGTTGAGGGGGTTGGTTTGTTTTTTGCTTTAACTATGTTTTATTAGGGCTTATTCATTTTTATGAAATACTGGGTTTATTGTGTGCATTTTGATCATGCCCATCCCACATTACCCTTCTTACACCCCTCTCCTCCCGCAGCCCCTTTCCTTGTCTAATAATAGTCTGCCTTCTGCTTTCTTGTCATCATTTTAGATCCCACAGATTAGGGAGAACACATGATACTTCTCTTTCTGAGTCTGCAGTTCAGTTAACATGTAATGCTAGCCAGAGTGATTCCTCATACGTGCTTGGCACAGCGCTGAGCCCGCGGCCAACATCAGGGATGGTCTCTGCTGAACGTGGGTGGACCAGTGCACCACAGGGACAGTGATGGCAGTGTCTGTCCTCCAAGTTGTAAATTGAATGCTGTGAGAGACACCATGTGCTCAGGAGGCCCCCAGACTGCTCTGTGACAGAGCTGGCACATCGTCCGATGGCTGGCTGGTTAGCTAGGCGGATGCATCTGGCCAGCCGAGCTGCTGTGATGCGCGAGGAAAGAAGACCACTTTTCTAGTCAGGTGAAGTGGTGCTCGCAGGCCCTGCACCTAGGAATGGCAGAAGAGGTGACAGTGGAGGGAACGGAGTGCCGTGAGCCTCATTCTGCATGTGGAGACTGAGCGGTGTCAGCCCCCGCTCAGCAGTGGAGCAGCCCGGAGTCCCTGCGGTCAGAAGGAGGAGGAGGAAGGCTGCTGCAGTCAGGTGCCCCAGGTGAGGGGCAGCAGGAAGAAGAACAAGAAAAGCGAGCAGGGAGGAGAGTCGGGAGCATGACGGTGCCCAGTGGCCCAGGGGGCGGAGTAGTTGATGCCTCTGCTGTGAGGGGATGGCATAGCTGCCCACCGTGCCCACCATACCCTCAGGGAGGCCCTTGAAAAGCCACAAATGTGGCCTGTGGGTCCTCGGACCCAGAGAAGACAAAGGTAGGGGAGAGGCTTCCAGGCTGTGCCCCGAGCGTCCAGGCAAGGTGCTCTCTGCTGGGTCACTGGTCCCCAGTGGCTGACTGCATGAGCATCCGCAGGGAGGACCAAGCCCCTCTCCATGGGCTCCTGCGGTGCCATGGCACAGGTCTGAGGTTTGGAGTGAAATTCTTCAGCACTGAGCAGGGTGTCAAGTTGTGACTGGGAGAGGAAGCAGATGCTCCGGCCGGCTGAGGCCTCGTCTCCAAAACTCGGCCTTTGAAGAGCTCAGACTCCGCTGATGAAGCCTGAAATGGGCTGAGGACATCAAGGGTGGGATCCGAAGATTCCTAGGGTCCCGGAATGTAAGACAGCCAGAAGAGCCCGGAAGGATCAGTCCCTGCCTCACAGCATCTGGAATCATGGGCTGTGTTGATTCATTCTCAGGACCTATATTGGAGATTGGTTTCAAATGGAAATCAGCTCTTTTACTGAAAAATAAATGCCTCTGTGGGCAGAGGTGGCTTCTGTAGCCTCCTGCGCAATGTGCCATTAGAGGCTGTGGTCATGAACTGCATCAGGACGTGGTGGGGTCGGAAGGTCAGTTGGAAGGAAGCACAAGTACGCCAGGGTCAGGGTGCATCTGGGTGGTGGAGCTCGCATTTGGCTCCAGCCCCAGCACCCACCAACACCCACTTCCCCATTGTAAAACTCAGAAGCCATGGCTGGGCACAAAGCGCTGTCGCAGGAGAGCAGTGAATCTGGCTTATTTACCACTCTTGCTAGAGCTGTGTCCCTCTTTAAAGTTCTGATCAGGCAGTGTGGTTTGGCTTTCAGTGGTGATGGAAGTGCCCCTGGAGCCTTTGACCTGACCACTGTGGGGGCTACATCTCCCGGGTGCTTCTGGGAGCTTCACTGGGGAGGCAGCGAGAGTGCATGGGTGAGCGGGACGGCAGCACCGCCCATGATGACTTCCTCTCCCCGGAGCACGGTTCCTGAGGCCCCGCAGGTAGCATGAGCGCCAGCAGGGCAGGACTGGGAAAGGGTGATGGCATCACCCTCCCTCATCTCAGAGCTGGGGTCGAGGTCCTCACCTGTACCCTCCTGACGGGGAGCCAGGGATTGGCAGGGCGGCACCTGGCCTGGCTGGCCAGCTGCAGGAGCTGCAGGCCGGTGGACTGAGAAGATGCCCCGCTGTGTCCTGGGCCATATCCACTGTCCCCAGAGCTGCCCCGACATGCAGTCACACGCTGCAGTGCCTGGCTCCTGCAAGGCACTGTGGCCTGCAAGCTTGCCCTCGGGCTCTCAGCCTTCCTCAGGGACAGAGGCCCACACAGGCTGCAGGCTGTGCCCTTTGACCTCAGGGGCACATGGTGCCCCTCGACTTCCCGCACCCTGTATGGAGTGTTTCCCTGTGCGAGGACATGAGAGCAGGTGCAGTTTATATGTGAGCAAGTGCCACAGGCTACAGCAGAGCGCTGCCATAAAAGATGTGCATGTTGGGGGCATTCATTTCTGGAATTCTTCACTGGGTAGTTTTGGAGGTTGGGTG